TTGTAATAGATATGTAAGACCCCTACAATGTGCAACAATTAAATTAGTTCCTGGTGTATCACAGGAAAATGTATTAAGATGTAAAAAGTGTATTGTTATTACAATATAAAACAACACAATTATAAACCAGAGTGTTGTACAGGGGAGGAGGACAGAGAAGGATCAGAAGGAGGAAGGAATGTGGGGGCTATGGTGATGATGGGTAGGAAGGAAGTAAACACTGTTGTAAAATGAATAGCAATGTAAATAGATATATAAAAAATAAAATAAAAAAGATGGAAAAGAATAACCTCAGTGATTCTTGATGGTCATTAGACTCAGCCATTGCAATTCCTCATGTTTTAAATCCACAAAACATTAAAGACTCTGAGAATGAATGAGATCACAGAAAATCAAAATAACTCCAGCCAAACTGGCAGAATATTTGCTAGCATCTTGGACATAATGATGGAGCTCTCTTTTGAGAAATGATCCATCACCAATGTTTCTGATGCCTCCTGATAAGTGAAAAAATAAAAGCAGTGAGGCCTCTAAGTAGAAAAAATGATTCACAAGAGCAAAATTCAGATTGTGAATTTATTTCAGGAATAACAGTATATTTACTGTACTTACATTTAATGCTCCTTCAAATTTGTCTAAATAAGTCTAAGAGACTGTTTCCTCTTTATTTTATCAAAGCAAATTTGGTCTTATATATCCTAGGTTTCTATATATGTTTATGTCATGACTCCAGCAAACTAGACCAAAAGTCTAGTTTCAATTCACCACAATACAATTGGCCCCCTTTATCCAACTTACCTATATACCTTCTTCCTTCTACTCTGCTAACCATTTGTTCTCATAATCTAGAGTTTGCTTTTGTTCTCTTTTGTTTGTTCATTTGTTTTGTTTCTTTATCTTCCACATGTAGTGAAATCATAATATTTGTCTCCCTCCATCTGATTTATTTCACTTTGCATAATAGCCTCTAGGTCCATCTATATTATCATAAATGACAAGATTTCACTTTTTTTTCTTTTTTTTTAAAGATTTATTTATTTATGCATACAGAACCGGGGTACAGGCCAGGATGTGGAGGATGAAAGGATTCACCAGAGACAGAGTGGGGAGCAGAACAGGCAGATCGACTAAGTACACTGCTGAGGGGAGCAGCGGGCGGGTCAGGAGAGGTCTGGCTCGCCATGTGGTCTCCTTGGGGCAGGCGGGGATCAAACTCCTGCAGAAGTGGCTTAAGCTTCTTAGTGCTGAGCTTTAACCTGCTGCGCCACCAGGGAGGGCCTCACTTTTTTTTTCTTATAGCTAAATAATGTGCCATTGTGTGTATATACCATAAATTCTTTCCCATTAGAAGAGCCTTTTTAAAAATATTGAATAACAATTTAAAAACTCACAATTTTAATTGTAGGCATTTTTTTCTTCCTTGACGCAACTGATAGTATTTTATTTCAATAAACTCTAACTGTAACAGGGTGTTTCCAGGAAAAAGGGAGGTTCCAGGTTCCCTGCACCCAAAAGGAAGGTGGAGCTGAGCAGGAAGGAGAAGAATCTGGAGAGGAGAGTGAAGAAGATAGAAGCAGGATGGAGCCAGAAGGAGAGCTGAGGGAGGCACATGAAGCAGAGAGACGTGTGAAGAAGTGGCTCTTTTTTTTTGGCCCTGGACTGGGTAAAACAGATGTGGGTGAGAGACCCATGGGGAAATGACTATGGGACCCTTTTCTATGGGTCCCAGCCAGAAGGTGCTTTAAGCTTGTGACAGGCTTTCAGGCCTTGCTTTGGGCCATTCCCTTTTGGGTGGACTTTTACCTACGAGGGGAAGGGCAACCTTGGGTGTTTGTTTTAGAAACTATATTCTTTGTCTTTTCTGTATTGCACACTAAAGAAGGTCCCTTTCTGTTAAAGGTCTTATATGTTTTGCCTTGATGCGGCAGATGGCAGAACTTGTTTAGAACAGGCACATCTGGGGTTCTAGGGGTGCCCTGCTCCCTACCCTGTAACATAACAAGTACTTACAGTTATGCCTATGGGAAAAAGGGCAGGAAACACTACCACTGGTATTCAGAAGTCAGAATCCCAGAAAAATCTCTGTCAACAATCTCAGCCTCTGATATCTCTAATCAAGAATTTCACCAAATCAGAGTAAACTGCATGATCATTATTTGCCATCTATCTGCCCACCTGCTGCAGAGAATAATACCTTCTCCTAATTTTCTACTTTTGCTAGTTCAAATAAGTTTTTCTCATGAATAGACTGACCCAGAAGACTGTTAAGTAAAATCCCAAGAAATGACATTCCTGAGAACTATGTCCTAAAAAAATAAACACAGAATAAACACAGTTCTAACACCCAATATGATGCAATTTGGAGATGGAGTCTTTGGGAAATAATTACTTTAAATGACATCATAAGAGTGAGCCACTGAGAAGCACTTATAAGACCGGATACAATACGTGAGATCTTCTTCCCTCTCTGCCATGTAGGGGCCCAGCATAAAGCCTTTAGGCAGTTAACTCTCACCAGAATCCCACCATGCTGACACCTTAACCGAGGGCCCCCAGCCTCCTGATATTTGAGAAAGAAACATAAATATTTCGGAATTTTGTAAATTATAATGCACTACAAAAATGGAAGAAACATTCAGAGATTTTGTTTAAAGATAATAACAGATAAGAATAGTATCTTTTACATAACCCTTAATGTAAAAAATGCCACGCTTTTCTATACCAAATAAAGTGAGGTCAAGCACCAAGCACTAGGATTGGCTAGAAGTTTAGTCACTGTTCTTTGTCAGTCCCCATCCCTTCTTGCTTGATAAAAAACTCCCAAGACTTACATGGTTCCAACAAGAGGGACAACCAGACTTTCTGACAGTTGACAGAAGTTAACACTGATTTCAGAAATATTACAGACCTTTCCGAGACACCTAGGACCTCAAACTGTATAAGTAATATATGTTCTCTATATTGCTAGAATCTGAGGGAGTAAATGTCGCCCATTGTCTTAAATTATATTTATATTCTTAATTACTTAAATTAGAATTAGAATTAAAGGATTTTACAGGCTATTTGGAAGTAATAGTGGTTTAAAAAAGAGAGATGGTCTATCTCCATTTTAATTTAATGTATCCTTTAAAAATGTAATCAGAGTAGTGTAAAAAAAACAGAAGAGGATTTGTCTTAAGTGATATACAAGTTTGTGCATATGCAATTAAGTATACTTTAGAATAAGTGTATAGAAAACCATTCAAACAATAGCATCAGTCTTTAAAGGGCAATTTCGCAATACTTATCTAGAGCCATAAAGTGTTTACATCCTGGTGATGACCCTGCAATCGCATTTCTAAAATAAATCTAAACCAATAAATCAAAAGAAAAATATTTATAAAGATGTTATAGTGATCCAAAATAGTAGAAGTAATATAAGCACCCTATATAAGAGCTCTTATATATATATATATATATATAGATATAAATGACTATTGTGCAATATGTATTAATATACACATATTATATGTAACTATAAGGGCATATTACATATAATTTATAAATGCATAAACTATTCTAAATATAAATTATATATAATATAATTATGTATTAAAATGGAATGCACTTGAAAACTGTAGAATCCTATATAAACAAAAATAACAAAGCAAAAGAAGCACTTTTGAAATAAAGTCAAAAAAATTTGCAGAATAAAAATGTGATTCTGTGTGTATAAAGACTGGAAATGGACCATAGACAAAGAGTTTGAATGTAGTATTTTATATTCTATATTTATATTTGTATTCTAAATATACTTTGTAAAAATAAAATCATGAGACAAAACTAAATATCACTTAGTGCTAAAAAAAAAAAAGACCCTAAAGAACAGGAGAATGGATCCATTCCAGATCTTCCTAGGAAGGTAAGCAATTACTGGTTCTAATACCCAACATTCTGGGAGTAAAGTGAGGGTGAGAGGTCAGCCCCAGGCAGCTGATCACTACAGACACCATCAAATATAGCAGACATCACTGAAATGAATGAAATGAAGATGGGCTGTTTTGAATTGATGTGAGAGAAAAGGAGTGTTTTCAACCAACACAAGAGCCAACCTAGTAAACTGTGAAAGGAGTCAACCTAATAAACTGTAAAATGCAGAAAAAAAGAAGTTATTAGTTCAGCAAATTCAGTTCAAACCTGGTCAAAGTCATCTTAAAATTAATGGAAATTCATGGTAGAAGACACTATGACTTGGTATGCTAAACAAAGTAATGAATTTAGGAGGCTACTCTGCTTAAGGAAAATCCCACCTGAAGCTTTTCTCCCTGAGGGAGAAGTAGCTTCCTCTGAATCTGAGCTCTTTTATTTTTTTTTAAGATTTATTTATTTATGCATAAAGAACTGGGGTACAGGCCAGAGGTACAGGCCATGAGAGGATTCACCAGAGACAGAGTGGGGAGCAAAACAGGCCAAATGACGAAGTACACTGCTGAGAGGAGCAGAGGGAGGGTTGGGAGAGGTCTGCAGTGCCATATGGGTCACCCCCAGGGCTGGGGATCAAACTGGTGCTGAAGTGGCTGTAGCTTGGTAGTGCTGTGCTTTAACCCGCTGCACCACCAGGGAGGGTTCACTGAGCTCTTTTATTTTTAAGGTGAGTGACTGAGTCTGTCTTTCTTTGCCTGGGCCTATCCACACGAGTGCTCATCCACCCTACCCTCACATCCTGAATCGAGTGTGGTGACAGAGACAGGGCTCCCCTAACATGCATTGCCTTTGAGGCAAAATTATAAAACAGGAAATCAAGGTCACAAACCAAAATGGTAGGATATTTGAGAAATATAAGTATTTGGTTTTTATATTCCATCAGAAGAAAAATTAATACTTAAATTTTAGATCACCTTTAATTTTTTAAAAGGAAAATAATTTTGAATTTAAACCAAGATAATAACAGAGTAGGTTCTCTGCTTCACTCCTCAATCATCTAGCAGTTCACCTGGGGTACATTACACCCAGATTGTCCCATGGCTTGGGAAAAACCTGCAAAGCCCATGGACATCAGACAACAACACAAATTGCAAAGAGGGGACACAGAAGAGCATTACACTTCATTAAACAGAAAGTGGGTGCAGAGAAAGACTGGAAGCTGTGCTCCAGGGACAGAGATAGAAACTGCAGAGCAGCTTGCTCAACCAGATGTCCTCAGAAGAGAGCTAAATGGTATGGAGTCTCACACTCTAGACCAGGGAAAAAATATGTGAAAACCTGGGTGTTCCCCAAAGGCTAGATCCTCAGCAAACAGAACAAAGACAGTGTGGACTGCATCCCTCTCCTCCACCCTTTGGGGCTGGTACTGGACTCAGGTAATGCACAGAATGCAGGCTTAGACCTGAAACCCCAGAAAAAGGGATATCAGCAAAGTCACAAAGTAAGCAAACCCTACATGACCTCCAGCAAATTTTCACCAATAATGGGAACTATCTAGGCCCTTTCTCCACCCTCCAAAGCAACATCAGCAAAACAAAGGTCTCAGTAGTTACTGAAGTCAGCAAAGTCAAAAAAAAAAAAAAAAACTAAAGTAAGATGAAATAAATCACAGTGCCACTTACAAGAAAAGCAGAATTATCCAATCTCTGAGTTACTACCATAGCTTTCAGAAATAGAAACAACATCTGAAAAGGAGTGATTCTGTACTTCTGAATCATATGCAGTGTGGCAAAACATTGTTATCAATTGAAAAAGAAAAAAAACAGGAAAGTCTAAAGGAGCAAAATAAGCAGACAGAAAAAAACTAACACATGGCAAATTGATGCCACAAAGGAATGTGACTTTACAATGAGAAAACAATTTTCCAAGATCCAGCCACAAACAGAATATGTCTCCTGACCAGGTGAATAGTTCAAAATTACTGTAATAAAGAAAATCAAAAGACAGAAGAAAACATTTTTTAAAAAGTCAAAATGATACAACTCACAAAAGCTAGTCAAAGACAAATCTGAGAAAAACAAGGGCATACTCGAAGAAATAAAATTATTAACCAAACAGAAAAAGAAGTTGAAGTTTTAAATGAGAAAACAACATAGTTGAGAAAAGTGCTAATTTGTGGTGAATAGACAACATGCTAAGTGACTACTGGGTTTCATTAACCCAGAAATCAAAGGAAAAAAATTTAAAAATACATAGAGGCAAGTTAAAATAAGTGGAAATAAATGAAATAGTTTAAGTGAAGGTTAATGAAAACAAAAACTAGTCCTTTGAAAAAATGAGCAAAATAGACAAACCTCTCGCTAGACTTAGAAAGAGAGAATGCTTGTGTAGAATTAGAAATGAAATTAAGTTACAACAGATAGCTCAGAAATAGAATAAGAAACTGTAACAGGGTGGTCCCTAGGAAAAGGGGTAGATCCAGGTTCCCTGCCCGATGAATCAAACGACGTAGAAAAAATATATATAAATATTTAAAAGCAAAAAACTTCCTAACACTGAATCAGGAAAAATTAGAAAATCTGGGCAAACCAATTACCAGCAAATAAATTGAAATAGTAGTCAAAGTCTCCAAAAAATATAAAAGTCCAGAACCACATGGTTTTACCAAACCATCAAAGATGAATTAATAGCTATCATTCTCAAGCTCTTCCAAAAAATGAGAATAAAGGAATGCTTGCAAAAAGTCGTTTTGAGACTAATATTCTGATATTGATTCCAAAATTTCAGGTTTTCAGGCCTCGTCTCCCAGCCAGGAACAGATCCCATGCTTCAGGGCTGTGCTGAGCCCCCATCCTAGACCACCACAGGTTGGTGCCTTCAAAGCCACAACACAAACTTTGCAGATGCTCAGGCAAGCAAAACGAAGACAGATTTGTTTAGTGAAAGAAAAGGTTTACTAAGAAGAGAACAAAAATAAAGTGGGACTCCCAGGCTGGTGGAAGCAGGTCAGGGAAAGACGAGGGAGCTGAAGTGGAGTCATGTCTTAGGGAATATACCTCTTTCCCTAATGATTCTTGACCTCCACCAATTATAACAGGGTGGTCCCCAGGAAAAAGGGAAGTTCCAGGTCCCTGCTCCATCCAGGAGGGTGAAGCTGAGCACAGAAAAGAAGGAATCTGAGGAGGAAGGAAGCAGAAAGGAGAGCTGAGGAAGCCACATGGAGCAGGGAGCATGTGAAGAAACCGTGTTTATTTGTTGGCCCTGAACTGGTTGAAAGTGATGTGGGTGAGAGACCGGTGAGGAGGTTGACTATGGCAGTGTTTATCTTGATTTTGATTTTGTTCTTTTCCTCCCAGACTTGTCTGGCCATGTCTGACCCTTTTCTATGGGTCCTGGCCAGAAGGTGCTTTAAATCTTGTGGCGGGCTTTCATGTCTTGCTTTAGGCCAATCCCTTTTGGGTGGACTTTTGCCCATGAGAGGATGGGTATCTTCAGGTGTTTTGTTTAGAAATTATATTCTTTGTCTTCCGTATTGTATACTCATTGTATTAAAGTTCCTTTTCATTAAAGTCTTATATGTTTTGTATTGATGCAGCAGATAGCAGAACCTATTTAGAGCAGGCAGGTTTGGGGGTTCAGTGGTGCCCCCTCTCTCCCTGCCTTCTTTGTGATTGGTTAGTTCTCATTGGTCTCACTCACTGTCCTAATGGCTCTGTGCCTAGAACTAAGTCTTTGTCCCAGCCCTTACCTGTGAGTCCTTTGTCTTTACTGCCCTTATCCCAGAATATCCTGTTGCTCCAGACCTGGAGTGTTTGAGTCCCCTTTGGAATTTGTTGCCTTTATCTCTGGAGCACCCCTTAACTATCCTGAGGTCCCTCCCTGCTCTGTCCTGGAAGCTGCCTAATTATCCCTAACTTTTCCTAGTACTCAATACCAAAGCAAACAAGAACATAACAAAAAAGATAAAGTACAGTGATAACCCTTAAGAACATAGAAGGAAAATTCCTCAAACTCTTAACAAAATGAATTCAACAACATATTTAAAGGATCATGTACCTTGAAATGTGCCGTGAAATTTATTCCAGGGCTGCAAAACGGGTCAACATAAACAGGTTTATCAATAATAATCACCATATCAATAAATGAAAGATAAAAATAACATGATGAGGGCCCTCCCTGGTGGCGCAGCAGGTTAAAGCACTGCACTGGGAAGCTTAAGCCACTTCTGCATGAGTTCGATCCCCGCCTGCCCCGGAGGTGACCACACGACGTGGCAGACCTCTCCTGACCCGCCAGCTGCTCCCCTCAGCAGTGTACTTCGTCGATCTGCCTGTTCTGCTTCCCGCTCTGTCTCTGGTGAATCCTCTCACCCTCCGCATCTCTGTGCCCCAGTTCTGTACGAATAAAAAAATAAAAATAACATGATGACATCAATAGGTGTAGAGAAATTATGTGACAGCTCAGCACCTACTATTAAAAAAAAACTGAAAAATGAGCACAGAAGGAACATAGCAACTTAATAAAGACTACATATGCAAACCCAGTGCTAACATCATACTCAACAAGGATGTTCACTCTCACTTCCTCCATTTAAAATAGTATTCGAAGTCCTAGCTAGAACCTAAGAATAGACAAGGAAAAGCTATAAAATGAATCCAAACTATACAAGTAATAAAACAGTCATGATATGTAGGTGAAATGATATTATACATAGAAAGCCCTAAAGATACCACTAAATAATTATTAGAAGCAATAAATTGATACAGTGAAGTGGCAGGCAACAAAATTAGCATGTACAAATTGGTGTGTTCTGATTTGTGCACACAAACTAGAATAGAAAAAAAAAAATCCAGGAAACAATCCCAGGTACAACTACAGCAAAAAGAATTAAAACCTAGGAATAATCCTAACACTCGTACAAACCTAATCTAATTATAATGCATTATTAAAAGAATAGAGAAATACACAAAGAGATGGAAAGAAATTCCCTACTCATGGATTGGAGGAATTAATATTGTTAAAGGGACATCTTACCCAAAACAATATACAAATTCAAAACAATCCCTATCAAAGTATCTATTCTTCAAAGAAATAGATAAAATAGTGCTGAAATTTCTGTGGAATCACAGAAGACCCCAATAGCCAAAGCAATCATGAAAAGAAAAGGAATGAAGGTATCACATTCCCATACTTCAAATTATATTATAAGGTTATTGTAATAAAAACAGTATTGTTCTAGAATAAAAACAGTATTGTTCTAGAAAAAAAAAGTAGACAGCCACATACAGGAAAAAAAAATAGAGGACCATCTCACATCATAGACAAATTAAGTCAAATTTTAACTCAAAACTAAAGACTTGGATATGACAACTGAAACTATAAACATAGCAGGAAACATAGTCAAAAACATAGCAGGAAACAACTGGCTTTGGGGACTCAGCTCCAAAGGCAAGGGAAATAAAAGCAAAAATAAATAAATGGGACTACATCAAACTAAAAAAGCTTCTGCACAGTGTAAAAATCAATCATTAACTATAAAAAGACACACTGTAGACTGGGAGAAAATATTTGCACACAATGTATCCTACAAAGAACATGTACAACTGAGCAAAAAGAAAGCAAATAACTCAAACAAAATATGGGCAGAAGAAATAGCCAATAAGCACATGAAAAATGTTCATCATCATTTATCAAGAAGGAAACGCAAATCAAAACCACAATGAGATACCACCTCATACCTATAAAAATGGCCCATATGAAAAAGATCAGAAAAATACATTGTCCAGGATGGAGAAATAAAAATATATAATGCTGGTGGGAATAGACAGGAACAGGACCTGTGAAAGTTCCTCAAAATACTGGAAATAGATATGAACCAGCAATTCACTCCAAGGCATCTTCCTGACAAATGCAAAAACATTATTTTAAAGGGATGCACATACCCCTGTGTTCCAGTATTAGTTAGAATAGCCAACCTATCAAAACAACCTATGTGCCCAACAACAGATAAGTAGATTAAGCAAATGTGAACTATATACAGAATTCCTTGTAACAACATAGATGAAACTGGACAAGATAATATTAAGTAAAATAAATCAGGAGTAATGTAAATACTTGATGATTTCAGTCATATGTGGACTATAGAGAAACCAACCAAAGGAACAAACAACACAAAACCAAAGCAAACCCTGTAAATCTAAATGCAGAATTGAGAATACCAGAAGGGGAGAGATGGAGGTTGGGGATCAAGGTCAGGATGAAGACCCAATGGATTATGTTGAAGGACCATAGGTGCCTTGGTCGTGGGCATGGTAACGTACAGTTAATAAGACGTGAACCTATACCTATAGATCATATACAACATTGTAAACCAATGTTACCACAAAAAAATTCAATAATTTTTAAGATAAATAAATAGAAACAAACAGAAAGTATCTCAACCTAATAAAACAAAAAAATATTTTTAAAAGAATCATATAGTTATTTTAAAAACAAGATTGCCATTCAGAAAAGAAGGAAAGATCAAGGAAATGAGAATTATATAAGACAAGTTAATAGCTATAAAGAAAAGAAAGAGAAGTGCTAAAATTCATATAAAGGGACTACTGAACCAGAAAATAGTTTTTAAAAAGTTAACAGTTAAAAAAAAAGTAAAAATGTAAAATAAACTGTATAAAAAAAAAGTTAACAGTTAAAGAAATTATATATATAAATGTCCCAGATTTTGAAACAAATAACAGACCTAAAATGAAAGCGCCTACAGAATACCAAGGAGGATTAAGAAAAAATCCATACCACACTACAGTGGAATATAGGGATAGAGATAAAAAGAAAATTCTAAAAGTGACTACAAAAGTCAAAGGCGTGGCATATTAAAGGACTAAGAATCAGATAATTCAGAAGTAACACTGATTGCAAAGTAGTAAAGGAAACTTAGAACCAAAGAACTTAGAATTCGCAATTTTGTATCCAGACCAAATGACTGTCATATTTAAAGACTTGGGATATGTACAGTCAAGCCTCAAATCTACAAAACCTCAGATGGTTTGCTTAACCAAGATCAGTGTTGAACACATAGTGGAGATTAAATTCCCAAGAGTACAAACAACTAACAAGAAGTGTCACAGTGATATATGAATAAAAGATACGTCTTGGTTGCTCTCTTAAAGAAAGGGCAAGAAAGAAGTTTGTCATCAAAGAAGGAAACCCTTATTTAAAGGCTTAGGAGTGCACATCATAGAAGGTAAAGTGTTGCTATCATTTCACCTTTGAGCTACAACTAATGGACATTCACAACTCAAGTAGGGTTCCTTTGCTAAACACACCAGGTCCCAGGAAGATTCACAAGTCTGGCCTGTGTTCTTGACTGTGAGTGTATTGGGGCTTACAGAGATACTGAAGCAAAGCAAGAGAGAAGCTAGGGCCTCCAGATCATTCAGACCACACCCAGGGAGAGCAAATACAACATGCACCCCATGCCTTAAATTTCAGTGAGCCCATTACAGAGGGGAGGTTCACCAGCTAGGCAAGTATCCAAGGAAGAGATGTAGGCAACAGAGCAGAACTACCACCGTTCCTGCCAACGGAAATTGGTGGCTTGCAGTCCTAAACAAGGCAGTGACAGAGGTTGGGTGCCCAGCATTTACAGGGAAAGGGGCGACATATGGCTGGGAGTGGGGTGTCTCCAGTCCCTTCACTGCCCCAGCTCAGGGCAACCAATTCTGGCTCCTTTTCTTTCCTTCTTCCTCCTATTAGGGAGGGAGCTGTTATAGCAAAGAGAAACCTTGAGCTGTACTGTCACCTACTGGAAATGAACGGTACCTACATACTCTTAGATAAGCCAAATGTGCTGCCAGAGAAGCATCAAATAATAGGAAGAGTCACAGCAACGTGGCATCACTAAAAGAGACAAAAAATCTCCAGAAATCAAAATACACGGAATTTGCAGGAT